CTCTTTTAAACAATTTTGCTCATCATTTGACATTACTCATATAACAGGAATACCATACAATCCACAGGGACAAGGCATAGTTGAAAGAGCTCATCAAACTATTAAAATGTATTTATTAAAGCAAAAAGAGGGAATTGGGAAGGGGTATATATCCTCCAAAGATAAACTTAAAATAACCCTTATTACTCTAAACTTTTTAAATTTGGATTCATCAGGGCTTAGTGCTGTGGAAAGGCACATGTGTCCAAAAAATGTACAAAAGCCAAAGGTACTTTGGAAGGATATTCTAACAGGACAATGGAAAGGTCCTGACCCAGTGATTGTCTGGAGTCGGGGGTCATTTGTGTGTTTCCACAGGGAGAACAGCAGCCAATTTGGATTCCAGAGAGACTAACTAAAGCTATTTCTACAGACCAAAAAGAAAATGACTTGGCTCAAATCCATAACAGCTGATATCCTTACATCTGCAACAGTGGTTCTTCCACACCTGGAGGCTAATGAATAATGAACACCATTAAAGCCTATTTCAAATGTAAAAAAACTTGGGCTTGTTTGTGGGAATGCCTTCAGACCCATTATGCAAGTTACAGGAAAAAGGATGTGATATCAAAAGAAGAGTCAAACCGAGGTGGTAACCAGGATGCTTTTTTCAATATTTATTTTATTATTGCCTTTTCCCACATCATGAAGTTCTATTTTATTTTTTGAGCTCATAGAGACCTAGGTTAATGTTTTTCTGATCAGTTCTATTTTTTTGACTGTGGAGTTTTTAAACGTTGCAATGGAGATTTCACCTGTGAAAAGCTACAAGGCCTTTACTATTATGTTATGTGTTGTATGTATTGTGTTATGTGCATTGTATGTCTGTATGTGCGTATGTCCATATATCATATATGAGGAGCGCTCATGAAAAAATGAATCCAAATATATTTTTTTATTCACGTGATTTAAATGGTTTAATTTAAATTGGTAAATAGCTGTTGAGGATTGTTTTAATATATGAACAAAAAAGGAGGTTATCAGATCTGTTTGTTTACTTTCACCTTTCCTTTTCATTATATTTAATAATTCTGTTCAGTATAATGTAAATTGTTTAGAAAATTGCTTTCTTTTAGTGCCTGCTGGAATGTTACATAATTTTTTTTTAGCCATCTTTGCCAGAATTCCTATCTTCATCCCAGTGCTGGTGAAGACAAAGATAAAACCAAACTATAGTTTCTTCAATAGCTATCATAGTAAACTGTATAAACTGATGCATCAATGAATATAACTCAACAAGTGATGCTCAATCAAGGAGTCGATTTACTTTGAGAGGAAATGGACATATTAATACATTCCTCTGCTTTTAACTGCTTGCAGAACTTGCCTGGACTATGTATCACTTGTATGCATTGTGAACTATCTATTGGTGCAGCGAATTGTGGTAGGGCTGGGGTATCTTTGCTGATGGTGTCATCGGTGGTACAATTTTTCCAAAAAGAACTGTCATTTGGCTTGGTGTTGTGGCATTTTTCATCCTCCTCCCTTCTGCTTGTGATGGTCTAAAATTTGGGGGCCAAGAGAGGTGAGACAAAGAACCTCACCCCCCACTGGCACCAAGGCCAAATTTGGGGGCCAACAGAGGTGAGGCAGGTCACCAACATGGGGAACACTGCCTGGTGAGTGACCCAGCTCTGCTCCTGCCCTGCAGGGCCTATGAGGGCTGGTCCCTGAGACACAGGGACTTACAGGCAGACCCAGGGCAAAGGCCCAACCTCTTGGCAGCTCCTCCACCAGGGCCCCAGGTCTACAGGGAACCTGAGCCTGTCAGAATCCTCTCAGGTGCTGTTCCAGGAGCGGAAGGAAGGAAAGCATGCCCTCCCCCTCCCTGCTCTGGAGGCCTGGTCCCCAGGGAGGGACAGGAACAGTAGCTTGTTGTTAGAAATTTCCCTACTGTTTCATAGCAGTCAGAGCACAGATTGGCACAAGGGAGGCCTTCACAGTGGCAAAAAGAGAAGGGTCACCCCCACAGGGCAGTGCTCTCTAAATGTAACAGATGTGGTCTGGCTCTGTGATCGGCCAAACCCTCAGAGCCCTCAGCTGGGGAGCCACAGGGCAGGCCAGACTGGAAAAGGTCAGGGCTGTGGAGCAGGCAGGTGAGGGGTGCAGGTGCCCCCCATTTACCAGCCATGGAGCCTGGACCACATAGCATGGCCTCCACAGGCCTCTGCCTCCCTGACCTGCAGAAGGGTTGACCGCAGGTCATGACATGAGCACCCAGTGCTGCTCCTGCTTCTCAGCTGTGGCCCCCAGGATGGAGGGCGTGACCCCTGACCTCCTGTCCCACCCCAGGGAGGAGGAGGCAGCTGCACTGACCTCGCACAGACAACTCGGTGCCTGGTCCAGACTTAACCTCCTTATCAACAGGGGTCGATCTCTGGAACTTCACACAGTAGTAGGTGCCGGTGTCTGCTGGGGTGACATTACTGATGCGGATGGAAAAGTCCCTGTTGTCCCTCTTTGTGGTATCTGAGAGATTTGTGACTCGGGGGAAGTGGCCTTCTTTGAAGTGGTAGATCAACTCCCGGCCTGGCCCTGCCCCCTTAAACCACTGGGTGGGCCCCACGGGGAGCAGGGAGGTCACAGTGCAGTGCAGAGTGGCCGACTCTCCAGCAGGGACAGACACTGACTTCTCAGGCTGGATCACCTGCAGCTCCTGTGCAGCCGCTCCTGGGGGAGACACAGGGTGGTCACTGCTCATCCTGGGGATCCCCTTGGTTTATCACGTGGTATCAGCAAAGCCTGTCACTGACTGAGTGCCCACAGAGTGGCCTTGAGCTCAGCGCACAGGGCGTGTCCTCACACTGAGCCTCCCCTGGCTGCACCTCCACACTGTGAGACACCTGCCCCTGAGGCCCAGAGCCCTGAGCAAGGTGGAGGGAGGGGACTTGAGGGCCTGAGCCCTCCCCTGAGCTCTCATGTGTCACCAACTGTTTGTTATTCTTCCCTTTCTGACCACAAGGTCACTGGCATTTCAAGAACCATGACATTGGGGGAGGGGAGGGTCATGTGGCTCTTGAGACTCCTGAATTGTGGGGTAAGTGGTGGAGTTAAGTTAGTGGGACATGCATTTGACTGTGAGTCTGTGGCTCATCTTCCCTATTCCACAGAAACCCCCAAGTTCATGATGGCATTTCATCTACCAGCCTGAAGTGATCATCTTGCTGATAACAATGTACAGCTCAATTAAGAAATGAAACATTACTCAAGCCCCTTCCATAACTACCCACACTATAATCACATTATGTAAGTATTCTTGTTTTTCTGTGAGAACTGACTGCAAACTAGTGTCTGAAACAACAGCAGTTTTTCTGTTATGGTTCTGAACATCAGAAATCCAAATTTACTCTCACTGGGCATCCACCCAAGGTCATGAGGTCTGTTTTATTACTAGGCTCTGTTCCCTGCTCTCCACATGCAGGGGGGTCCCTGAGCTGCTTCCCCTTGTTTCCTGTCCTCCTGTTGCTCCATCCTCTTGCCTCCCCCATCTCATATCCTTCCCTAGCTCATTTCTCCTGCCTCCTTCTCATCAGGACATATAGCCAAAGTAGAAAAGGAAATCTGTAAAATGATCAGCAAATTGAGAACATCAACAAGGAGAAAATATAAAAAGGAAACAAATAGAAATTTGGGAGTTGTTGAGGCTCAATTAACTCTGAATTTCATTATAGATTTCACCAGACTTGAACAAGCAGTTAAAAAATCCCAAAATGTGGAAGAGAAATCATTGACAATGCTCACTTTGCAGTTCCAAATGGGAAACAGGAATTTAAAAAAAAAAAATTCATTCAGGATACCAGCAAATTGCACTGACACACATACGAGAATTCCAAAAGAGAAGAATGAAAATAGAAGGGGCAAAACCTTATTTTGAAGTGAAATGCACTTCACTTTCTTAAATGTCATCTAATATATGAAAGTACTAATCCAAGAGGTTGAACAACCTCCACGTTCCATCGACTTGAGCAGATCCACGCTGAGGCACATTGTAAACCAATCTGCCAAAGCTAAAGTAAAAGAGACAACACTAAAGCAGAAAGAGAGGCCTGTTCACCACATACAGGGTTCCTCCGAAGGTGTTTATCAAGTTCTTAATGATGGGAACCAGAGGTAGTAAGATGATGCATCTACAGTGTTGAAAAAAAATGGTACCAAGAATTCTCTACCTAAGAGAAAAAACATTCCTTCCAACATGAATGAGAAATGAAGATATTTCCAGAAAAAAAAACTGAGCAATTCACTCCCTGTAGAAATGTCATGCAAGAAATGCTAAAGGGAAACCATTAGGTTGAAGTGAAAGGATGTTAGATAATAAATCCAAGTTTCACCAGAAAATAAAGCTCTCCTGTTGTATCATGGATGTTTTAAACTTTCTGATGCCTCAGTATTCCCAGAAACAGATGTGGACACTCCCATAGGCAACAGGTACATCAATGCAATAAGCTATTCTTGACCATGAGTTCCCTTGTTGCTGTCCCTCGACTGTAATCTAGTGACATACACACACACACCCACAGACATCTGTGAAATCTTTCACAATGTTGGTATCTGAGTTCTGCAGGAACTCACAATGAGACACTGCCCTGAGTTTCTTTCTCTAGAAAACTGTTTTGCTGATAAATCCCTAATTTCTTGTGCCTCTCCAGGTGCAATTTCCAATGCTCTGTTGGCATGGTCCTTAGTTGGCTCACCAGTAGGACTAACTCTCCCATTGACAACACAGTGGAGAGGAGGAAGGGAGGTTCAAAGGTTAGGAGCAAAGTCCCTGGGGCATGGCTTCTGACTGCTCAGGACTCACTCCCTGGCTTTCCCCAGTGGCTGTACCATGTTGCACAGCTCTCTGGCCTGATGGCTGTCTTATGCCCTGCTTTGTGCAGCTCTCTGTGGCTTTTTCAGAGAGTTTATCACCCTCTCCACATTACAGTGTTACTTCTGTCCCAACCCCAAGAATGCATACTGGAATACCAGTTCCTAGCCTTGACCCCAGCTGCACAATCATCCTACCATTGGAATCTGGAACACCAGACCCTGTGAACTGGCTCTTTAGCAGCACACTGGAGTGGGAATGTGATTTGAGGAAGGACCTCTGCTGGAGCGTGTGTACTTCCATGAGGTGCTGAGTGTTCATTGCTGAGTGCTCTTGTGAGAGTCAAAGCAGATATAGAGGGCCAGTATACAGGTATATGAGCCTGTCCACAGTGTCCAGCATGTGGTAAGTGGCATTTGTGAGAATAGTAATTCATTCTCTTCCTTCATGACCTCACATTGTCCCTTTCCCAAGGAGAGTCCTCCACGACACCCCCTAAATGTCCACGCTACATGTGCTGGCCGACTCTTCTCTGCTGCTTTCTTGATGCTGTTGATCTCCATCTCCCATCCCATCCATGGCTGCCATCCAAGGTGATGCACAAGGAGAAAGGGGAAAGAGCAATTTGAAACCTCTCTCTTTAAGATGTCCAAAGAAGTAATTAAAGATTATAAATCTCCCATGGGCAATGTACTGAAAACCACTGACATGCTAAGAATCTTTCCTCTTAAATTGAATTGTAACAAAATAAAGAACTTAAAAGATGTAGTTCAGACCACTATTGGTCTTATGTCCTGAAAGGAGGGTGCATGTTGGAGAGCACCTCAGCTCATGACAGCCAGAGCCAGGAAAGAGAGTAATTTGTGGTGGTGGGAGGAGCATGCAGCAGAGCAAGTGAACACCAGGATCCACGGACAATATGCAACCTTGAAGGACATGCCCCCAATTACCTGCTTCCCCCAGTAATCCCTGCATGTCAAGGGTACCACTCATGGCTCATTAAAACTAAAATCCATCAGGTGAATTGATCCATATTTGGTTGCAGCTCCATAACTGAGTCATTCCCCTCAGAACCTACTGCAGTGTCTAATACACAGGGGATTTCAAGGAATGCCCCACATCCAAACATAGCACCCTGTGAGTCTGAATGGTACACTCTTGGAGAAAGGTCACTGCTCACAATAGGGAACACTCCAGAGAATGAGAAGCTTGTCAGTTAACAGTGAAAGAGATTGAGAAAAATTTAGCCACCCAGGGTATAAATCATGGGCAATATTTTGCCAAAGAAGAAAAACGTGTGGACAAAGGGGCAGATTTTTCCTTTTGTAGGGTCACCCCAAGGACAGGCCCCTTCTGTGGACACCAAATCTTTCTATTCCTGATTTTTATTTCCTTTTAGCAACCAGAGGCAGACACTGTTGCAGTAGGTAAGAAGATAAAACATAAAAAAAGAAGGGGAAAGGCTGTCACTTTAGATACCTACTAACTCAGAATAATCAAAAAAAGAATTTTAACTCTTGTGCTCATTCCAGAGACAGCAAGGTAGATTTAGAATATGCATCAATTTAAAAAAGAAGATATAGGGCATAAAATAAATGGGAGTGAAATAAAGTGTAAGCATAAGTAACATTTTATGCAGTTATGTAATAAGTTAACCACTGAGAGGGATTCAGAATGGTGGGCCAGAGGGAGGCAGCATTCTGTGTCATTCCATGACCTGGGTCTCAACTAGTGGTAATATTGTTTCTCTGAGAGTGATAGAGGCCCCCTCCACAGCTGTTCCCACACAGGAATCAAGGCCCTGTGCTTGTGCAGGGCTCTGGGACTCAGCATTAGAGCAGGACTCCTGACTCCTGGCTACTCAAACTGCATGTCTCCCAGGTACATTAGTGGGACCACCAGTATCAGAACTGGTGCAGAATTCCCAGATGTCGCTTCCATTCAGGACACTCAGCCTCTACCCATCTGCAGGAACTCCATCTACCACTTCCATGTGAATTCCCATCCATCTTGGAACTGGGAAGCTATTGCCATAGGCCCCTACAGGCACAGTACCCTGTGTGCACCTGGGACATCCCACAGGCTCTGAAGACAACCAACAGCCATAACACTGCACGCCACAGAGCTCACCTTTGAACCCATCACACAATGACATTGACTGGCTCCCTCAACCCAAACTGAGACCCCATTGCTGAAAGCAGCTGCCTCCAACTTGGGTCACTTCCATCACCATCTTTAGTTGGGGCAGCTACCATTTCGGAACACTGGATAGTCAGGTACCCACAGTATATAATCCACCCAATCCCAAGCAGCCGCTAACCTGGCACAGTGACTGCCCAATACAAAACTGCCCTCAGCAACAGGTGCGCAGCCACCAGAGGGCGACACACAAAACTCCCAGAGAGAAACCTTCCTTATTAGGAAGTAGAAAGGGAGAGGGTGAGGGAGCTATACTTTAGAGACTAACTTAGAGGGCAGGAACTGTGAGGTTTACAGGCAAGATTAGGAGATAAGACTAGGTGCCCACATCACAGAAGCATGATGTTTAACCACACCTCTTTCATCACTGGATGGATATTCCACACAAAAGTTAGACAAAGAATCTATATAACTCAATAGTACAATCAATAACTTAGACTTAACTGATGTATACAGAATATTTGATCATTCAACGAGCCTATACACTTTCTTTTCAGCAGAACATGGATCCTTCTCTAAAATAGACCATATATTATGCCACAAAATCTCTCTTAGCAAATACAAAAAAGTAAAGATACTACCCTACATTCTTTCAGATCATATGGAATGGAAATAGAAATCAATGATAAAATTTTAAAAAGCTACTCCAACACATGGAGACTAAATAATATGCTACTGAATAAACAATGGGTTGCAAAAGACATTGAGAAGGAGATTAAAAAATTCTTAGAGGCAAAGTGAGAACACTGATGAAACATATCAAAATCTCAGGGACACTATAAAGGCAGTACTAAGAGGAAAGTTCATTCATGGAGTCTATTCCTTCAAAGAAGAAAAAGTCAACAAATAGATGACCTGACATTACATCTCAAAGCTCTAGAAAAAGAACAAAAAACACGAAAAAGAAGACAGGAAATCATTAAAATCAGAGCTGAAATCAATGAAACTGAAACAAAGGAAACAATTGAAAAAATTGATAAAATAAAAAGTTGATTCTGTGAAAAATAAATAAAATGACACCTCTTATTCATGCTCATGAAGAGAAAGAGAGAGAAAACGCCAATTACTAACATCCATGATGAAAAAGGAAATATCATAATGGGCGCTACAGAAATACAGAAGATAATTAGAAATCATTTGAAAAACTTGTACTCTAATAAAGTAGAAAATACCAAAGTCATCAACAAATATCTAGAATCATATGATTTTCTTAAATTGAATCACGATGATATACACAATTTAAACAGATCAACTTCAAGCAATGAAATAGATGATGCCATCAGAAGCCTACCAAATAAGAAAGCCCAGGACTGGATGGATACACAGCTGAGTTCTATAAGACATTTAAAGAAGAACTAATACCAATACTCTTCAATTTACTTCAGGAAATAGAAAAAGAGGCAGCACTTTCAAACTCATTCTATGATGCCAATATTACGCTGATTCCAAAACCAGACAAAGACACATTAAAAAAAACTTCTCTGATGAATATAGATGCAAACATTTTCAATAATTCTGGCAAATCAATACAAAAACATATCAAAAAGATAGTGTACCATGACAAAGTGGGATTCATCCCAGGGATGCAAGGTTGATTAAACATAAGAAAATCAATAAATGTAATTCATCACATCAATAAACTTAAAGATAAGAAATAAATGATCATCTCAATAGATGCAGAAAAGACATTTGACAAAATACAGCACTCCTTTATGTTCAAAACACTAGAAAAACTAGGGATAACAGGAACATATCTCAACATCTTAAAAGCCATCTATTACTAAGCCCCAGGCCAACATCATTCTAAATGGAGAAAAATTGAAAGTATTTCCTCTAAAAAATGGAACAAAACAGGGATGTCCGCTTTCACCACTTCTATTTAACATAATTCTTTAAACAATGGCCAGAGCAATTAGACAGATAAAAGAAATTAAAGGAATATGAATAGAAAAAGAAGAACTCAAATTAGCACTATGTGCTGATTGTATGATTCTATACCTAGAAGACTCAAAATATTCCACCAGAAAACTTCTAGAACTATTAAATGAATTCAGCAAAGTAGCTAGATATAAAATCAACAATCATAAATCAAAAGCATTTCTGTACATCATTGAAAAATCTTCTGAAAGGGAAATCAGAAAAACTACCCCATGTACAATAGCTTAGGAATTAAACCAGAGACACTATGCCTAATAGAAGGAAGGCCCAAATCTGCATCATGTCAGTTTAGGCCCCAACATCCTTAATAAGACTCTAATAGTGCAAGAATTAAAATTAAGAATCAGTAAATGAGATGGATTCA